CAGTTATTACGGTTTTCTCGTAGAGGGTTCAATAACTGAATAAGCCTTTTCTGCTCACATTTTGTAACAAGTGAAATTTGATAAAGCAAGTCGCAATTACCACGTCTTTTATTTCATACTTGTGTAAGGCCGATGTTTTTGAAACACGAGGCATCATTCAAACTCAAATTTCAGAAAGCAATTAGGACTTCCTGTGGTGCTCAATATCTCCTTCAAATTTGGAGCTGAAGTAGAATTGCTTTGTTGCATGAAATGCATGGCGGTCTGTTTGGACGTGAGGTGTTGATGAATTAGGAGAAGACGTCGGTCACAGCACGCAAACACACGTGTTTCCTAGCTGAAATGAAAGATGGCTAGCATATGGAAAATGTAGACCTCCAAAAGCACATACAGACAAACACAATATACCTTCCTCGTACTAGTGAAATAATTATTGCAATGAAGACAAGTCTCTAAGGTCTCCTACAACATCGTCAAACATTCAATCTTTAGTATACCTGATATGTAATGTCGTTTGTAAAACACTTGGCAAAATGTATACTCTATCTCCGTAATATATTTATACTCCATACAGTGCAGAATGTGAGTGTAATCTTTGACACACATAATAAACAGTTTTGCAAATTAATTGAGTGATTTCTGATAGACCGACTTGGGACACAACTATTTTCACATGGTGCCCCCTTGGAATGTTTACCAGAACTGCAAAAAAGGCATATATGCTAGATGTACGTATACAGCAACGCTTTTTGCAATACGTGTTATAAGAAATTGTAAAAGGCCTAATTGAATATTTTTGTCACAAAAAATTGCAAGCAACGAACAAGTTAACTGTGAAGGGTCTTCCAGTAGACGTCTACCATAGCACTACTTTCTTCGTGTATCAAAACTAGTGATCGGCACTACTACCGCAACTTTCGACGGTCAAACAGGCTTCGTTCTCATGGATCAAAAGCGACTCCCCTATCTATCCTTATTACTGCACGTGCGATAAACGTGCCGTAGGTACACACTGAGTGGAACATTGAAGAGGAATTCCAGAAACAGTTTCAAAACGAACACGGCCATGTTTTATTTCTGGATAGTGTTCAGCACCAAGGACATGTGTGTTAACTTTGTTTACCTTGTTATATAAAACAAACAATGTTGCCAGGTCTTTCAAGTTCCTTCGTGACGACATCAATCGTGAGGTGTTTTTCAACCCTTGTAGTCTTACCTAGCTGAACCAGTTACCTGAACCTGAACGAAGGCGGTTAGGGAACGGGTAACGTTACGTCATGGGACATGTCGGACAGGTTGCACTTGCGCTTTGAATCATGGGAACGCCTCGCGCCTAAATCTCTCTCCGCCTGGGACCGAAACTGAACACAAACGTAAGAATTTTGTCCACTTTTTCTAGCTCTGTACATAAATTATCATCCTAGTCAGTCGCTAGTCTGGTTTTAAATTGCTTTTGATTGTGTCTGGACTTGGGAGGGGGGGTTAAAGTTAGTTTCAGTCGGTGTAGTAGTTTGTGGCGGCGCGGTTTCCCTGAATCCTGAACCCTCAGTTGTTAGCTGTTAAGCTGTTTGTGCTATGAACATCTACACACATTCCGACACTTTTTACATTAAGGCTTAGTCCAACTTAAGGCTTAGTCCAAAACTAGTTGGACTAAGCCTTAATGTAAAAAGATAATGTATAACGGGAGGGGTCCTAAGTCTGGCATAGTTTCAAAGATTATTATCATTATGTTATGCATGGGTGAATCCACATAATAAAAATAACTAGTTATGGAGTAAGACTTATACGTCTTAAATCACAGATATATTGCTGTTTCAAGATCTAACCTTATTTTTGATAGCTTTAGGGTCAGATGTAACGTAACAATGACAAAATACGTGCGTCAACACGTAGAACAGTTGCCAGACTTTCGACCCCTCCCGTTAGGGATGAATGTCCAGACGGTATCGGGTTGGTCTTCCTCTCAAACTTTTAATTCAGTAACAGTCAGCATATTGCACAACAATTTCTCGATTTACTAGTATCCTGTATTACCGTATGCCATAAGTCATTATTTCATCCATTTATAATTCAACAGGAAGGACCGGCTGATCACTGTTCAGCAGGACATTATGGAGGGGCAGAACAAGGGAGAGGTAGGTTGCTTTATCAAAAAAAGTTTATGATTTCACCGTGTAAAACGGGGATGTTGGTGCCATAAAAGGTTACACCCACAAGAAATGAACATTACATTGACCTAAATAAAACAAGATTAGTCATACATGTAGTTGGGCAGGTTTCAATACAGCTCATTGCATAGGTCAGTCTTTAAAACGTTGAATTGTTTGTTTGTTTTTTAATTCATGTACTTGAAAATGAAAATTTGCAATATCAGAGATCACAGTAGGTTTAACTGATAAGCAAGCTATGATGTTTATCAGGGCTAGAATGTGGCTGCTCGTGTCAGATATGTGAAAGTGCATAGTTCAGTAATGACTCATATTAAAAGTGAAAGTGAAAGTAATCTCAAACCAGTTTAGCTCACTGGAGCTAATTGTAATTATAAGTTATTGAATAAACAGGTGAGAGGTGATTTAATGCATGTATATGTGCCTGCCCATGTCAATCTAGATGTGTCTCTCCCACCACTTGACACATCTCTATTGCCAGCTTACTTACCTGCACACCTAGCACCGAACGTTAAACCATGGGAAGTCTATCAAAAACTGCAAAAAGTGAAAACTAAAAAAGCCGCGGGACCAGACGGGATTCCGGCCAAGCTCGTAAGAGAATTTGCATACGAATTGAGCACACCCCTCGCTGATATTCTAAACTCGTCCCTTGTACAAGGCACAACACCGGAGGAATGGAAGCGCGCCATTGTGGTCCCCATACCGAAATCCAGACCCCCTTCGGTCACCGAGCTTCGTCCGATATCTTTGACCTCCATCCTAGGCAAAGTTGCTGAGAGTTTTGTGGCCGAGTGGGCCGTGGCAGACATCGCACCTGAAGTCGCCATATGCCGTCTGATTGAGTTAGGTCTCCGCCCATCGCTCGTCAGGTGGATATTGGACTTTCTGACGAATAGAACACAGGTCGTGCGATATCATGGGGCGCTCTCGGACAGTGCTACGGTAACCTGTGGTCTTCCACAGGGAACCATTCTCGGGCCCCTGATCTTTATCGCGTATATCAACAGCGCATCACAGCAAGCATCATCCAAGAGATGGAAATTTGTGGACGACCTGAATCTGCTGGACATACGTCATCGTTCCATACCAACGTCATCCTTACAACAGGACCTGACTGATCTTGATAAATGGTCCCACGATCAAAGTATGGTCTTGCACCCGGGAATGTAAAGTTTACATGTACAGTT